ATTGTTTTCATTATGTCTAGATCATCAGCTGATCCTTTCAATGCACTACTGAGCTTTGTCACATGCCATAGGTTGATGATGTACACGTGGTCCGAGCAAACAATCAACAGATGCTATTTGGAGTCACGAGATTCCAATATTACAATGTGGTTGAAGAAATTTAGAGAATAGTGATATTCCCACTCGAAAAAAAGAAAGAATAACGTAATTATACTCTAAGTTCTGTGTTTTGTACTCACGTGCATGTTATGTAGTGTCTTCTACGTATCCATGTATCATTCTGTTTTAACATGCCCAAAGGAACGGTTGTCTCCAATGAGGTGTAGGTTCACTTTAATGTTTATTTTTTTAGCTTTGTTTTCAAAATTAGAAGTAAGCTGCCCCAGCACGATGAATTTTAAAACATCGTGTGAAGACATCGCATAGAAGAATGAGATTGCAAAAAACACTTTTTGAACAAATATTCGCGCAACGAGTACATAAAGAAATATTTTTCTAACATCCTCTTGATACAACCAACGCTCATAAATTGGGAAAAGCCTAAAAAAAGAAACTTCGCTTGTCATATTTGTTCTGAGCCATCGATTTGTGCATTATAATTTTTTGTTTGTTTCAGAATTTAATTTTGTCTGTCTAATTCATAAAGTTCTGAATCACTGTCACATGATAGTAAAGTTTATTCATCTCATAAAGTGTATGAAAGTTGTTCGAAAGCCTCTAAAACAACTTCTTACGATTTCCGAATATTGCATAAAATTTTTTTATTGTGACCTTAAAAGGAATAGTTTCAAATGCAACACCTGCTATTCAACAAGCAGATACAAGAATAGTTTCATAACGCCAATTTATGGTTTAGACTTGTGAAAACAAAGAAAATGTTATTCTGAATGTTTGTATTGGTACGTTGTGTGAAATCAGCTGATTAGTTCATGGGTTGATAACATGGGAAACAAGCACGAGACATAATTTGTTAAGAACATAAAAAAAACGGCAGACAGCCAAAGACAGATATTGTGCTTCTTAGAGTCATTGTTAGAATAGAAATATTGTTTGGCTTATCATGAGCGCGCATTCTTTTGATTGAATTGTATCTGTTATGAATCTGCTCTCTTTTAATTTTTCTTTGCGGCTCCGTCAAGAACTAACTCAAGTGAATCCCACATGATTTCCTCGATATCAGGGTATGCTTCGTCTTTGAACTTTCCCTTGAAACAAGATGGAAGATTCCCTCTTCTAACATATCTTCTCTTTGATTAAAATCTATCAAAACTCTGGATAATGACAACAAAAAATGGAGAAGGAGAGAAACATTCTGCAAGCTCCTCAAACTCTCTCAGTTTTTTATCGAATTCTCTATGGTTGTCACCTATCCACCCACTTTTTAGTTTAGCTGTTTGAATATAATATGATAGAAGAGATAGAATGGATCTTTGAAAACTTGGAAATCTTAAGAAAACAACTGTTGCTAGTAAAGATCATTTCGTCATAAGATATCTCATAAGGAAATGATGTGCACAAGTGTGATTACTGTTGATAAATGACTAAAACTAGTGCTCTCTCTGAAAAATGATAGAAACAGATATTTCCTCTAACCATCTTATTCAGAAAAAAATTCTTTGGAAACAGATATGATATCCGAATCTGAGGCAGTATATAAACCAATTTCTGAATCATTAAAATTCATTCATGTCATTCATTCTATTATTATTAATTATTTTTATTTTTTGAACCTCTTCAGAGTGTCTGCAACCCATTTCTCTATTAGTCGTTGAACGTCATTGTATGAGCATAGTCAAGTGTTCCGAATTTGAACGACCGAAACAAGAGAAAAAGCATGAGGTAGAAGAGAAAATCTGCAAGTCATGTGCGAGAAGACGCCAGCATCTGAATGTGGAGAAGATTCAACTGTAGGAAGTTAGAGAACAAAACAAATTCCTTTGTAGACCTTTGGCTCTAGAGCTGAGCTTTTAACTTTTGCTCTCAGCCCTTCTGTCCGACCTCTCAATGTACCGAAAAAGAAATACTCCACTGTTGAACAACTCAAAAAACGTATAACGAATAATGATATTCTTATCCATCCTTAGTTTTACTGATTGCTATTTAATGACTTAATTGACTGACTTTCGGGATAATCTGCCGTCATGTGCTCATTGTGCAGGTCAAGTGGAAAGGCACGAGTTGATGCGAAATGCGTGTGGGTGGGGTGGAGTTTTTTAAAAAAGAAATCTGAACCTCGTGATGAAAAACCTCCACTTCGGAGGTGCAAAACGTAAAATAAAGAAAGAAATAATGTGCAACTGATTAGAGAATCATCTGATCCGCATACCATCTGACTACATAGTGATGGAGAGTCATAACAAATCTGAAATCTAGTGAAATATTTATATTGTAGTGAGGAGAGTCATGATGAATGGAGAAAAACGAACTTGAAACTTCTAACTTTGTAATTATTGGGAACAGTTGTACTGCTGACGAAATGGATATGAAAAAAGTAGCTTTGAAGAAGTGTTCATCAATCGTTTGCCATATCTTCTCTAGTTTCTTTAGAGAGCATGTGGATCTTGTCAATCGTCTTTTTGTATCATGAACATGATGATCATCATCAGCTGAAGGGATAAAAAAGATTAAATAGAAGTCAACGAGGCGGTTTGTTCAAAAATCTGGATGTTTGAAGATTGTGAAACGGAGCCCTGCTCTAAATTAATAAGCTGATGAACTCAGCTTTTATACAAATCATTGTCACGTGAGCTTGTTTTACAAGCAATATGCTAATTCTTTCTTTGCTTTGGATTCATCTTCCAATTACGGAACCCGGCATGTGAGAGGGTCGAAGAGAAAGATAGCAACTTCTGAGTGGAAATCAAACTTTTTTTTCCAAAATATGTTTTTAGGAATTCGAATGAAACGTTTGAACGTTTAACATTAGTCATTTTCCTTTATTTCGGAAAAAAAAAACTTTTTTCGCAGACAATTGTATGTAAAACGATCTGATCACGAATTGTCAAATAATTGAAAGAAAGAGTTTTCACACACAAGGAAAGTCTTCGGGAAAAAAGGAAATTAATTTCATTTTACTCATTTCCTGCTTGAGGTTATGACTTTTTTCTTTTTCAGAGAAGAATTCAATGATTAACCTTGCTGTTGTTTAAATGCGCAGAGCAAGCAGGCATAATTAAAAATATTTTTATTTCAACTTTTTAAAAAGGGCAGAGTAGTCATAAACGAGCACATGTTAAGTGCTTCATGTATACATTATACAAAGATTTTATAGCTTCAGGCGTTATTTATTGGCGAAAGCTAAAGACACTCGCTTTTCACCAGATGGAAATCTCAAAAATCGTTGAGAATCAGTTAGAAGTTGGTAGCTTCGCCTACGCACCAGATGATTACATCTATCATTTCTTCCATCATTGGTTGAAAAATATTTTATTCACAACTATGAGTGTTCCAATAAAGTATAGTTGGACTGAATGAATGAATATCATCCTTCCGCGGTGGAAGATTGGAGAGAAGGTTTCACAGGAAAGAATAGTCTACTCCCATAGAACAGTCAAACTAACATTTTGTTGAACTGATATTCCGGTTCTAATATTTAACATCTATTTCTTTTTTATGTTTGTTTGTTGTTGTTTTCTCAAGATTATCTGATATCTAGTCTCTATCATCATCTATTTATTATCTCTCTGTCCTCCGAGTTCAGATCCGAAAGGGACGTAGGTCGAGTGGAGGCGAAGGAGCATATGTTAGAAACAGACAGTTTGACATAGCGAAACGAGAAAAAAAGATAAGAAAAGAGTATATGAACGGAATTTGGAGACTAGAAAATAGAGAATAGAATATAACGATGATAAAGAGCACTAGATGCTGTTGTAGGTGGGAAAAACCAAGAGGTGGGCTCAAGCGGAAGATGAAACATGATTCACAGAGAGGTGAGATAGCTATAGGAATAATATATACCATACAAAAAACAGAGATATAGAGAAGCAGAAACTGATAGAAAGTTCGATGCGTCGCTCCGCCTTCACCAATTCAGTCGTTTCTGCCAGACGTTGAACTACATACACACTCATCTAACTAACTAATCGCCGCAAGCATGACAGACCAGCCGGCCGATGCCCCTGCTCTTCCCCCTGTCCAGCCCGAACCTGAAGCTCCAGTTCCTGTTGAAGGAGATGCTTCAGCTCCCGCTGCTGAGCAAGTAAGACGACTTCTTGGCTCTCTCGCTCTTTATTTGATAGCCGTCGTTAAGACGATTATCCAGCTTATAAGTCGCGCAGTAACAGAGGTCAGATAGCAAGGGATACGCACAGAAATCATGTAGTCGAAAGACAATGAAGTGAAGTTTCTGCGCGTAACCCTTATAGATTACCCTATTGTCCTCAAAAAATTTTAAACCTCTTTTCCCTAGATTGATTGTCATTATAATATAAAAATGATTACTTTCAGCAAGCACCAGAGACTGCTGTGCCTCAGACAACTGAACAAGTAGAGGTTGGTTTTCAAAATAAATTTAATAAATGTTTAGAAACATTAGCTAATCACTTAGTGTTTATTAAATGCATACTTCCTATTATTAAGTTCGTTCAGGAAGAGAAAAAAGAAGATGCTCCTATCTCCACAGAAAATTCTGCCCCAGAAGCCGCCACTGCTGAAACCAAACCCGAAACTCCAGTAGCTGAAGCTCCTTCAGTAGATGCCGCTCCAGAAGCATCCGTCGTCGAAGCTCCCACTGCTGAAGCTCAAGCCTCTGAACCAGAAGCTACAGTTGTACAAGCTCCAGTTTCTGAAGCTACACCCGAAACTCCAGTAGCTGAAGCTCCTTCAGTAGATGCCGCTCCAGAAGCATCCGTCGTCGAAGCTCCCACTGCCGAAGCTCAAGCCTCTGAACCAGAAGCTACAGTTGTACAAGCTCCAGTTTCTGAAGCTACACCCGAAACTCCAGTAGCTGAAGCTCCTTCAGTAGATGCCGCTCCAGAAGCATCCGTCGTCGAAGCTCCCACTGCCGAAGCTCAAGCCTCTGAACCAGAAGCTACAGTTGTACAAGCTCCAGTTTCTGAAGCTACACCCGAAACTCCAGTAGCTGAAGCTCCTTCAGTAGATGCCGCTCCAGAAGCATCCGTCGTCGAAGCTCCCACTGCCGAAGCTCAAGCCTCTGAACCAGAAGCTACAGTTGTACAAGCTCCAGTTTCTGAAGCTACACCCGAAACTCCAGTAGCTGAAGCTCCTTCAGTAGATGCCGCTCCAGAAGCATCCGTCGTCGAAGCTCCCACTGCCGAAGCTCAAGCCTCTGAACCAGAAGCTACAGTTGTACAAGCTCCAGTTTCTGAAGCTACACCCGAAACTCCAGTAGCTGAAGCTCCTTCTGTAGATGCCGCCCCAGAAGCATCAGTCGTCGAAGCTCCAGTCGCTGAAGCTCCAGTTTCAGAAGCCGCACCAGAACCCCAAGCTGCTGCTGTAGAAGTTGCTCCAGAAGCTTCCCCAGAAACTCAAGCCGCTGAAGCTCCAGTTGCTGAAGTTGCTGCCGAGACAGTAGCTGAAGCTCCTACTGTGGAAGCTGTTCCAGAAGCATCTCCAGAAACTCAAGCCGCTGAAGCTCCCGTTGCTGANTGGAAGCTGTTCCAGAAGCATCTCCAGAAACTCAAGCCGCTGAAGCTCCCGTTGCTGAAGTTGCTGCCGAGACAGTAGCTGAAGCTCCTTCTGTAGATGCCGCTCCAGAAGCATCAGTCGTTGAAGCTCCTGCTGCTGAAGCTGCTGCAGAATCACCAGCAGCCGAAGCTCAAGCCTCTGAACCAGAAGCTACAGTTGTACAAGCTCCAGTTTCTGAAGCTACACCCGAAACTCCAGTAGCTGAAGCTCCTTCTGTA